TGCTGAGGCTGGCTGTGAACTCACGATCCTCCTGCCTTGGCCTCCCGAGACACTGGGGCTACAGGTGTGTGCCACGCGCCTGGCCACTGTCATATATATATATATATATATATATATATATATATATATATTTAAACAGCTTTATTGAAAGACACATTGAACATCAATAAGCACCCTGGAACCATGGGGAAGGTGTCAATCACAGCCCCTGGGAGGTTCTGCAGGCTGGCAAAGCCTCCCTGGGAGGGGAGCAGAGCCCTGCACCTGCAGAACCCAGGGCCCTGCATCAGGCCAGCCCTGGGGGGGCCTGGGGGGGCCTGGGGTGAGAAAAGCGACAGGGCCAGGACCAGCAGGCCCTGAGAGGTGCTCTGTAATGTGCTTACAGAGGTCTGCGTTTGATCTCTCATTTTGCTATTTTGTGAAATTGAAAAGTTTTAAGTAAAATGCTGATTTTTTAAAGATGTTTTTGAGATATTGATGGACCTTCATTCTATTCATTTATTTATATGCAGTGCTGAGGCTCCGACCCAGTGCTTCACACATGCTAGGCAAACGCTCAACCACTGAGCCACAGCCCCAGCCCAATGCTGATTTTTTTTGAAGTGGTGTTTGGAGACTACTTGGAATACATATGAAGACACCAGCATTGCTACTTTGCTGTGATACTGACTGCAGCATCTGTCACAGGGACTCAGCCTCAGATGACCAAAGGAGGCTCCTCTGATGTTGGAGGTGTTTTATCTCAGAGGGGCTCACACAGGGACCCAGGGACCTGGGACCTGGGACATGGGGTTGGGATGGAGACATTGCAACCCTGCACAGAGCCGGGGGTTTACCCAGAGCTGCCTGTGGGTGTCCTGGGCTGGCGTCTGTTTTTATAATCCCTAAAATGTACCAGTTCCCAACTGAATACTTGAGAGGGAGGTAATGTCAGGAAAGTTAAAATTTCAAGTGAAATAGATCATAGCCCCAGTTATATGAAGGTTTTTAAAATTTCATTTTATGTGTCAGACACTACTAGTTCAAGCTTCCCTTAAGTTTAGGGTCTGTTTGTACAGTTTAATCTTTAAGTATTCTTAGTATTAATTTGGTTTGATTTTTCTGACTTTCTTAATTAGTTTCAGTAATGTTGGAATATGGAGGGAATGAATATCTACACTTATTTAAAGGATCAAACCATCTGAATACGAGATAAACGATAACGCTAACTCTCATTTCTTAAGTTGGACACAAACCTTAAAAGGCTGTAGATCTGCATTTGCCCTCTCTCAGATACTGTCTCGTAATTGCACGGAATCCCATCCGAGATACCTGACATCCTGTGCCTGCGGTCTCAGCGCTCCGGGGAGAAGTCAAAGCTCTTCATTCTTTTTCTGATAACTGGATCTCAACGATGTTGACAAACTGGACCGTCCCGTTTTCCCATCTTGGAGCCGGTTCCAAGGTGGGCGACTGCTGGATCTGGGTGGAGGGACTGACAGGTGGTGCCGTGGGTGGAAAGAGAGGGGGCCTGCGGGGAGGGCATCCATCAGGGGCACCCACAGCACAGACCCAGAATCGGACACCAGGACAGGTGACAGTGCTTCCAAGCCGCAGTGGAGCCAGGAAAAGGTGCAGGGGCCTCCTCTCCTGCCTTGGGACCCCCTCCCTCTTGTTTCCCTTCTTCCCTTCTCCCTGGCTGTGGGGAGGGTCAGAGTCCGAGGGAGGGAGGGAGGGAGGAGTCCACTCCAGGGGAGCTCTGGCCTAGGGTGCCAGACCTCAAGCAGGGTGAGGGCAGCCCAGCCCTGGGGACTCACAGCCCAAGTGCGTAAGGAGAGCGCGGCTGAGATGGGCCAGCTGGGGGGGGGCTCAGGGCCCACGCAGGCTCAGGAGCAACCTGTGCGTGTTCAAGACCCGGGACAGGGCGTCAGAGCCCAGCAGAGTGAGGGGGTGAGCTCAGGGAGGGGGAGGGGAAGAGGGCAGTGACAGGGATTGGGTCGAATGGTGAGTCTGCTGGAGTAACAGGAGCCGGGCTCTCACTGTCAGAGAAACGGGATACAAATACCGAAAGGGTAAACCTGAGGAAGCCCTGCCCTTTGGAATCAGATGCACTTGAAGGCACTGGTGGGCACTCAAGGGTTTCAAGAAAAGCAAGCACAGAGGTCAGTGTGTGGATCCACATGCTCCTTCTGGCTCTGGCTAGCAGGAGGCCCCGGAGCAGCGGCAGCTCGACCACGATGAGCGCACCTCATCCCCAGACCTTGGCTTCTAAAGACCACTCTCCACTGGGAGAGAGCCCCTGTGAGAGAGGCTCATTCCACATGGGACAGCAAAGGACCAGGTGAGCTGGAGCCAGGAAAGGAGCAGGTGGCCAGGGCCGCTCGAAGAGGTCACCAACCGCGGGGCAGTCTGAGCAGCAGACTAGATGGATGTGTCCAGAGAACACTTAGAGCTCGTTGAGGAAGGGCTTCAGGACACACAGTGACCGTGAGGGGGAAGAGCCGGTCCTCGGGGAGGACGCCCAGCGGATGCCTGTGCCCAGGCGGGTCAGAACCCTGCGCCACGTGTCCTGGTGGGAGGCATGCGCTCGACTCCACCTCGGGGCGCTCCTGCCACGGCTGAGGACATGGGGCTGCAACCCTGCACAGAACCGGGGTTCACCCAGCTGCCTGTGGGTGTCCTGGTTGGCGTCTATTTTTAGAATCCCTAAAACATACCACTTCCCAACTGAGTATTTGAGAGGGGGTAATGTCAGGAAAGTTAAAATTTCAAGTGAAATAGATCATAGCCCCATTATATGAAGGTTTTTAAAATTTTAATTTCATGTAACTGTCCTAGTCCTTCAAGAACGTCAAGGTCATAAAGGAAAGAGGGGAGAAGGGACTGTGACAACCCTGCCCAATGCGTGACCATGAATCGGGCCCTTTTGCCATAAAGAATTTTGTTGGAATAAGTGACAAAACTTGAGAGGGTCTCAGGACACAAGGGGAACGTGGTTGATGATTGTCAGAGGACCTGGGGGAATGTCCTGGTCAGAAACACGCGCAGAAGCTTGTGGGCAGGGAGGCCGCTGGCTGGCCATAGACCTTGTAGGCTCTGGAAAAAGAGGTTTTTGTGCTGAACTTGTACCTTTCTGGTAGGTTTGTGGTTATGAGTGAAAATATCTCAAGGATCATATAAATAAGGCATCGTGCTATTTTCTTTTTGATATATGTCCTCAAGCGCAATTCACAACCTCAGGGAGTCCGTCTGGGAGGAGCCAGGTGGTCAAGGGAGGCCTCCCCGGTCCAGGGACACATTCCTCCATCCCACGGTGGCTGACCCCGGTCTGGGTCACACGCCCACCCCACGGAGGAGCTCTCCCTTGACGGTCTCCAGGCCCCTGGCAGCGCTTGGAGGGGTGGCCGTAACTGCCCATCCACCATGGATCAGGTCGGAGGCGGTGGGGCCTTGTCCACACGTCTCCAGAGAAGAACACGGTTCCAGGCCGCATTTGCTGGGCGAATGAAAGAAGGGTTGGCTCTTCCCAGTCTTGGGGAACCTCCAATCCAGTAATGAGGAGGTGAAGTCCGAGGCCGCAGGGGCTGGGTTCTGACGGAGCCCCTGGACCTCCCTAGGGGGACGAACGCTCGCAGGGCTCTGCTGTCCACTCTCTGCAGTCTTTGCAGAGGAAAGTTCTGGCCCCAGCCTCTGCCATAGATCAGCAGGACACTGTTCTCCGACGGGCTCTCAGTGGGCAGAAACTCAGAGGCTGCCAGGGCTGCCCAGCGGGCTCAGGACCACAGCCAGTCAGAGGCCCAGACTCCCCGGGAACACGGGAGGACCTTAGGCAAATCCTCCATCCCCTCTGGAGCTGTAGAATAATCCTGGGGCCGCTGAAGTTTAACAAGGTTTCCTTTAAAGAAAAAGACTCTGAGCAGCCCAAGGACACTTCAGCCTTGTCTCTGGGAGGGACCTCCACGCTGTCCCCAAGTCCCGGCAAAGTGTCTGGCTTCCAACGGGCGCTGGGGGCAGCCCCTGGCAGCCTTTCCCTTTGTTGGGCTTCTCCACCGGAAAGAGTTGTGTAAAAAGGAAAAGAAACCACCTTCCTGCCACAATGGGGCCGATTGTTGGAGCTGCGGCATTCCCTCGAATGTTTACTTTTGCGTTTCACAATGAACAGGAAATGAGGGGTCAAGGACTTCTGACTCCCCTGTGCCCCTCTGGTCAGGACGGAGGGACAGTGGTTTTTCTAGTTGCTCAAGAGGGAAATGATAACAGGTAGGAAATTAGCACTTGGCTCAGCCTCCAGAGACAACCTTGGGCCTCAACCAGATCCTCCGGCCACCGCAGGAAATGTCCAGGCCCTTGTCAACCTTCTCCCACTTTCCCTTTTCCTCGGGGATGGGGACGTTAGCCAGTGGGGTGAAGCCTTGTTCCGGCAGCACTCTGGGAGGCCGGGGCGGTGGACTGAGCTCCTGTACCTGGGTCCCACGGACCAGACCAAACCAAAATGGGCTCCCTCATGCCACTCCATCAATGGAAACCTTAAGGAAACAGATCCCCAAACAGGCCAATTTCTCGGCCTTCCCGAGTTAGTGTAGAAGGAATCCCTCTGCTTGCACCCCTGCAGCTACGCAGCATGATGTCAACACCAGCTCTCCTCATGGTGCTGTCTCTGATCCCACTCAGGCTCCGCTGGCCCAGTCAGGCCTCCCTCTCTCTCTGTGGAGCAGAGGCTACCCAGATTTGCAGACCAAAATAAGAGCCGCGTAGGCCTGCAACTAATTTCTTTGTGATTGTGTTTTGACCGCATTTTACCACGTTGCATTTGGTCTATTGAGCACTATCAGTGACCAACGCAGAAAGCCGGCCTGGTGCGGGGAGGTGGTGCTCGCCGGGATCCCAGCGACTCGGGAGGCCGAGGCAGGAAGACCGCGAATTTGAGGTCAGGGTCAGAAACTTGGCAAGACCCTTTCTCAAAATAAAATAAAAAGAACTGGGGATGTGGCTCAGGGTCCTGCCTAGCATTGCAAGGCCGTGGGTTCAGTCCCCAGTTCTTAAGGAGAAAAAAAAAAGAAGGTCACGAGGTCAGGGAGTGACGCAGAGATGGGGAGGGTCACATGTCAGAGCACAGGTCAGCCTGCAGCAGGGCCCCAGGCGCGGCCCAGCACCACCAGTGAAAAGTGAAAAATGTGGAGAGTTGAGCAAGTAGCCCGAGGGCTCCGCCCTGCTCTCTCCCTCCATCAGGCCCTCCTGGGGCTGACAGCCACCCAGCTGCCACCCAGCTTCTGCGTCCAAAAGTGCCGGTGTGCTCCCCGACCAGCTGGAGTGGAAACGTCAGGTGTGAGCTCCAGGACTTGCTCCACCCCTGGTCAGAGTCTCCTGAGAGGTCAACCCAATCCCAGGGTGAAAGACCTCAGGGGGCGTTTCCAACTTTCCCCTTGCCCCGGGATGGAGTGCGGAGGAGAGAGACCTCATTCACCCTCAGCTGACTTGGCCGTCAGTGCACACGGCAGTGACTCAGGAAAGACCAGCGGGCCCCAGGAGGACGGAGGGAGAAGACGTGACAGTTGTGACAAGGTCTGTCTGGGACTGGCATGTCCTCTGGTCTGTCTCCTGAGATGAGGACGCTCTTCCCAGGTTGGAAAGTTCAGGGAGAGGATTAGGACGATCAATTCTTTTTGGAGGCTCTTTCAGCAAATAAGGGGAGTTCAGAGAGAACACTCTGCGTTCACGTTTTCACGTGGCTTCTGCTCAAAATATTCTACACACCCATGAGGTGTATTTTGAGATGGTGTGTCCTGGACCCCTCAGTAGCAAAACTTATTTTTAAAAATTTAGAATATATAATTTGGTTATCAACAAGATTGTCATAACTAAATAAGTTAATTTTTTTCAACACTCACACAGATTTCTACATTAAGGTTGGAGTCCTTGGAGTGCTTGGACATCAGTCCTCTATCTCTGCTACGTATAATTTGTGCAAGCTGGAGGAAACCTCTAGCTCTTCTGTGCCTCCGCTTCCTCATCCATGAAAGGGGGCTGGATTTTATACCCCTGACAGGTTTTGGTGAAGATGAAGAGTTGACATTCTTGAGGGAGTACCTGGCACATAATTAACACTCAATAAGTGCCAGCTCTCGTCGTTGTAATATTGTCACAGCGCTTTAAGAAAGAATTTTGCACTGGGGAGAGAACATGAATACGGAAAATAAATAAAACACCAGAAGGGGCAGACCTGTACACACACTGAGGATGTGCACTTTCAAGTTTCAAACAGTTCTGAGGAGCACTTAAGTTTGACCTCGTCTCCCAGAGCACAGAGGAGAGTTCCCTCTTATTTTCCTGCAATTTTAAGACTCTTTCCACTGTCAACGATGCAAACCAGCTTAGGGCAGAAGGGCTAAGGGTGGCCAGGAGAGCGCACTGCCCGAGAGGCAGGGTTGGAGTTTCACCAGGAACACGCAGACTTTGTTCTGCCCCAAGTGTCCCTCACTGGGGCAGTGCAATGGCATCCGCCAGGCGCCTGGGCTAAGGGCTTCCTAAGGTTATCTTCCTGCAGATCCCATGTCCACACAGAGGACCAGCATCCAGGGCCCCATCCTAACAATTCCAAGAGCAATGTGAATCTTCTCTCTTGATCCAGCTGGAAAAATCCCCAGGAAGTCTCTGATTGGTTATTGATTATCCTTGACCCACGCACATCGGATCCTGGAGGCCGAGGGAGAGGCGAGGGGTGTTGAGGGTGTGGGTGATTTGGAGAAGGAGGCAAAGGGATGCAGACTTCACCCGTGGAGCAGCCGCTGCTGCAGGAGAGCCCTGTCCTCCCTGATCAGTGCCTAGAGTCACCCCTCCAGGCTGAAGCCACCCAGCGGTTCATGGACACCCATCTGTTGGTGGCCATGGGATATGACCAGGAGCGTTCCTGCCTGCTAGACCCAGACCGTGCCCTCCGGGGTGAGTGGGAGAGGAAGGAGCTGCTCTCCGGTCCTCAGGGAATGACCTCACCCCAGAACTGGGAGCTGGTGAAAACAAACACACGTCTCAGTCCACTCCCAACCCCTGGGTTCCGCGCACTTGATGTCCATAAAATCTCCACCATCTCCACCGGTTATAAAGTTGGTTAAATAGTTTTTTGAGGTCTTGCTCTGTACTCCAACTTCCTCACCTTTCAAGTTCCCTTCGAATCCCTCAGGTCCGTCTGGAAGCTCTAAGAAAGACTGTTTTTATGAATCCTGTAAACAGGGCAGAGCATCGGCTTGTTTTCATTCCGTCATGGGCCGCGCGGCCCCCCTCCGGGGCTGTGGGGAGCCACAGGAGGCATTTTCCAGGGTGACTGCCAGAATAAACACCGCCCAAAGGCCAGCCAGGCCTCACCACTGCCCGCAGCTCTGCTTCTCGCTCTGGGAGGGAGGAGAGACCCCTGACCTTCTGTGAAGATTTCAACACAGCCCGTTCTCCAGGGAATTAGAATTTGTATGTTTTAGTGCACTCTGCAACAATATCAGAAAATCCCGCCCCGCTTTTCGGTGGGGTGTACTTGATGGTAGTGGAATGTTTCAACATTGTGTTTTTAAGGCTAATAACAAAGGAATTTCACATTCCAGAACCCTGAGGGTACACAAGAAGAATCTAAATAATCAGACTGTAGAGGTTACGTTGACCCAGCCATGGAAAACAGAGATCTCAGAAAAACTCTGGGATTGGGAAATATTTCTGGCCATACATGACCTGCAACATCGGGAATACCCAAAGCCCCCAAAATGGAGCTAAAACAAATAAAAACAAGATGAGGGTATTGGGACGAACTGTTATACAGAGGTCCCCCCTTATCTTCAGGGGCCTTCTCCAAGACCCCCTGTGGATGCCCCAAACCATAGATAATACCAAACCTTACGTGTACTATGTTTTTCCTATATACACATACAAACAATGAGATTTGTTTTATAAGTTAGGCATATTAAGAGATTAACAACAATAACTAGTAATAAAATAGAATGATTAAGACAATATACTGTAATAAAAAGTTATATGAATGTAGTCTCTCTCAAAATGCCTTATTGTACCCCTTCATTTAAAGGAAGCAGTTTATGGCTTCTCTTCGGCATATCCTTATTGCCAGCATCACTACCCTAGTACTTTGGGGACTTTGTTAAATAAAGCAAGAGTTACTTGGACACAAGCACTGCAATATCATGACAGTCAATCTGATAACTGAAAGGGCTACTAAGTAACCACCGTGTGGGTAGCATATACCATGTGGATGCACTGGACAAAGGGATGATTCACAGTCCATGCAGGATGGAGCACGATTTCACCATGCTATTCAGACACATGTGACTGGAAACTTATGAACTGTTTATTTTTTAAAATCTCCATTCATCATTTCAGAACGTGGTTGACCTTGGGTAACCAAAACCTTGGAAATCAGAACTGCAGGTGAAGGAGGACTACTGTATATTAACAGTATTTAAATTCCTCAGTTTGCCCCTGAGATATACACCAGGAAAGAGATTGTGGACTGTGCTCCAAAAAGGATTCCTAGGTCTTCCACTGCCTCTGCTCTGTTCATATGCTTGGAGAAGGAGTTGCTAAACGCCTTTATGGAGTTTATTGTGGCAAAAGAAAGCCACAAGTATTTTGAGACTCACAGTCCTGCGTGTTGCTAGAGGTGGAAACTTGGCCTCACCTTTGCTTCTGATATTCCTGAATCTGGGGAACAGTAACTCCATGAACGCCAAGTTACACAGACAGAAAGACTCTGGCCTGGAGTAAAATCTTCCCAGACCTGGGATTCAAATTCAGGAAGGCAGTGGGCACGGAGGCTGGAGAAGACACACCTGCCCGGAAAGACGGCCCTACTCACCTCCAACAACTGGTGTCACAGCCTCGTGAGCACCTTACGTGAATCTCAAGTGCAGATTTCCACTAGAGCATGCTCTGGGTGCCCTGTACCTGTGCCATCTGCGTCATCTACGCGAAGCTCACCACAGGGTACACAGAGGCACCAGAAAAGCTCTGGGTTTTTAGGGAGGCGGATGCACCCACCATGCACCTTGAGATTCAGCTCTAAGTTCTCTAGGGTTATTGTCTTCAGGCACACAGAAGTTGGCGCAGTCTTACTGTAAGTAATAGCCCCTGACGGGTGAGCCGCTCATCCTGCAAAGGATCGAAGGAAGGGTCCACAAAGCGGTAGAGGCATCCCGTGAGAATCCAGGCTGCAGGAATGCAGGAGGCGGGGTCTGCAGCCAGCAGGAGGCCAGCTGAGAGGGTCTGCAAACAAGACCCTGGCTGGGGGAGCAGGAGCTGGTTGCAGATAGAGCTTCCTGCAGCCAGGCTGCAGGCCGTCCCTGGCTCCACACTAAAGCAAGGGCAACACCGAGGCCAGCCAGCTCTGCACATCTGGGTTCCATGAAGAAAATTAGGCACACACCCTGCATGAGGCCCACAGCCAACCCAGTCACCCCCATCCCATCTCCACCGCCTGGATCTCCCAGTCTCAGCCCCGGGGCGGCCACTCTGCCAGGGAGCTCTGCAATGGCAGGTGCGTGCTGATGACAAAGAGTCGGGCAGCACCCTCGGTGCCCAATCACCACTTACAGCGTGGACAGAGTATACCGACTCGGAGGTGTTTTACTTTGTAGTTAACCACCAGACTATTTTTTTAAAGCAATTTTAGGTTTGCAGAAAAAAATGAGCAAAAAAGTACAGAGACTTCCCGGACGCCCCACCCCTCCCAATTTCCCCCGTCATTAACATCCTGGATCAGTGTGACACATTGTTACAAATGGACTTCACTAGCTGAAGTCCAAGGTGTACATTAGGGTTCACTCTATTTTGGTGTGGGGGGATTTGAACCAAGGGACACTTTACCTCTGAGGCACACCCTCAGCCCCTTTTATTTAGAGACAGGGTCTCACTAAGTTGCTTAGGGCCTTGCCTCCCTAAATTGCTAAGGCTGGCTTTGAATTTTCAATCCTCCTGCCTCAGCCTTCTGAGTTGCTACGATTACAGGTGTGTACCAGTGCACCCGGTTAACCCCAAATCCATGTAGCGCCATTGTAAAATACACAAAAGCATGCACACAATCCATAATCTCAGCAAGGCTGGCATAATTCTAAGATGTCCCCCCACAATAAAATCCCAGGCGCCAGGTGTAGACACCCTTTGTTCCAGCTATTTGATCCAGCACTAATCTAGGTACTACTGTGAAGGGGATTTACAGATATAATGAAGGTTCCAAATCCGTTGACCTTATAAAAGAAAATATTCAGGTGGGTTTCGCCTAACCACACTACCCTTTGAATGCAAAGAGTTTTCTCCAGATGGTCCCAGGAAAGGAAGTCAGAGACTCAAAGCATGAGGGGCACTCAGTGCACTCTTGCTGGTGTGGATGTGTCCTGTGGCAAGCAGCGGGGACAGTCTAGGTGCTGAGAATCGCTGCCAGCTGCCATCCAGCAAGGAAACAGGGACCTTAGTCCCACACCAGAAGGATCTGAATTTTGCCAACAAGAAGGAGCTTAGAAGTCGATAAGAACCCAACTGAGTGGCACCTGGATTTCCCCAGAGCATTTACGTGTTCATGTTTGCCTTGTAAAAATGAGATTCTATTTATGTCACTATCTTGTAACCTGCAAATTAAGGATGCGGTTCAACAAATTCAAAACAAAGCAGAAGCAATCACTGGAGTCTGGATTGAAATAACATTGAGTCTGTAGGTTGGCTGGGAGAGAATTGATTTATTTTGAGGTTATGTCTTCAAAAACATGACGGGACACTGTTTGTGCAGTTCTTTTAAGGTCTGTCAGGCAAATGTATGGCGCTCCCCGTCGAGGTCTTGATGCTTTTCAGTGTTTCTTTCTAAGTGCGATTGCAAACTGCACCGTGTTTATTACCTATTTTTGCAGACGGCCGTTGGTGCGACAACACTGTAGACACGTGGTCAATCTTAGCACTCTGATTTTGTATGCAGCAACGTATCTAAATGCTTCACAGCCTATCCTGTGTTCCCTAGGGTTTTCTGTTTCCCTTGGTTTGGGCCTTGGGGACGGAACCCAAGGCCTGGGCATGAAGAGCTTGCACCGCTGAGCCCCGGCCCCAGGCCCCCTGAGGGTTTTCTGGGAAAGCCATTCAAATACATCTCTGACTGGTCTCGTGTCTTCCTTTCCAGTTCCCTCGTGTTCTTGTCTTGCTTGTCTTCCTGAGCTGCCCAGCATCTCTGTTATCATGTGGACTCAAAGTGGTAAGATCGGACGTCTTTCAGTTGTTCCTAATTTTCAAGAGAAAGTTTTTAATATTCTACCATTGAGTTTGTTGTTTTAAAAAATTATTTTGGCTGGGCGCAGTGGCACATGCCCGTAATCCCAGCAGTTTGGGAGGCTGAGGCAGGAGGATCGCAAGTTCGAAGCCAGCCTCAGCAACTTAGTGAGGCCCTAAGTAGTTTAGCAAGACCCTGTCTCAAAATAAAAAATAAAAAGCGCAGGGAATGTAACTGGATGGTAAAGCTTCCCTGGGTTTAATCTCCAGTACAAAAAAATTAAAAAATTAGTTTTTGCTGTGTTGGGGCCTTTCACATGCTAAACACGTGCTCTACCACTGAGCTGCACCCCAGCATGGTTTTGTTAATTTTTAAAAAATAATCTGTGTTAGCCAGGCACAGGGATTCGCTCTGTGATCCCGACTACTCAGGGAAACTGAGACTGGAGGATGGCAGATTCAAAGCCAGCGTCAGCAACTTAGCGAGACCCTACCTCAAAATAAAAAATAAAAAGGACTGGGAATGTCACTCAATGGTTGACGTCCCTGGGCTCAATCCCTAGTACCATAAGCAAATAAATAAAAATAAACCATTTTGGCTATGGCTGGGACTAGGTGGTAGAGCACTTGCCTGGCATGTGCAAGGCCCTGGGTTCACACTGAGCACCACCAAAAAGAAAGAAAACAAGGTATGTACGTTGTCTTCAACGGCTATTCTCTTCTCCTTGTGGTCTAAGTTTGTTAAACTCATGGACAGATGTTAAATCTTATACTTTGCTTTCCTCCATTGATAAAGCCTGTCAACATAGTTTTGAATCTATTGAGGGATCTCCTGGTGGGCAAAGCCCAAGAGGCCCTCCTGGCCTTCCCCTCCTCCCCACACCTCCTGCTGGTTTGCTGGCAGCTCTGTTCAGGAGCAAAGCTGGTCAGCATCTGCTTTCGGGTTTGGAGTGGTGGGACGTGAGCTGCATGCGGCAGGCCCAGCGGGGTCCTGCCGTCCCGGTCCCATTACCTGAAGAGTTGGTGCAGGATTCCCAGCTCGGCGGCTTGTCTGCACCGTCATCTGCGCTTGACATTTCCTGGAGGGGAGATTTTATCTTCCTTTAATGGCTGCAGAGACGGTGGGGCTTATACTCTTTCTTCCTGAGTCGGTGCTGATAAGGCGGCTGCTCTAGGAATGGGTCGGTTTCCGGTCCTGGCGCTGCCCACAAAGCCCTCTTGCTGCCGTGAGCTCTGCTACGGTTCTGTTCCCATCTCCCAGTCCCGACTGGGTCTCGGCGTTGTTCGTTTGTGTCCTCTCTCTGTCCATGAGGTTGGAGTGCGTATTTGTTTTTTCTGGTTCTTTGTGATAACTGAATGCCTGCCTCCTGGGTCTCATGATGGCGTCTTACCGAACGCTCCCCTTCCACTTCCTCACGCTTACTCGCCCGTCCTTCGTCCACCTTGTCATGCTGAATGTCTGGTTTGCTGATCTACGGCATCTCTTCTGGTATTTATTGATCGATTGGTTATTGGTACCTAACAATCCTACAGAACAGGGGGCTGCACTGTGGCCTGTTCCCAGCCTACATAACCCCTCGGATGGGCCTCCACCCGGGGCCTCTCCTTGCCCTCCCCGTGGCCTTCCGGACCCTGCCAGGCTCCCTTCTAGCCCCATACGTCCCCTTACTCCCCCTATCCCTCTCTACCTTCCACAGACAGCAGAAATGACTTGTGACCTTCTGGGTCTCGCCTACTTCACTGATCACGATGGTCTCCTGTTCCATCCACTTCCCTGCAAGGGACAAGTTTTGTTATTCTTTATAACTGAATAAAACTCCATTGTGAATATTGCCACATTATCTTTACCCATTCACCTGTCCATGGACACCAGCCGAGGGACTTGCCTTAGGTTCAGTCCTCAGGACCACAAAAAACAAAACGGAAAACCATTTTCTAGCTATTTGAACTATAGGGAATGCGTTCAGGGCATCTTTGCACGGAGGCCACGACAACCTTCTTTATCTAGGTCCCATTTAAATATATTTTCTATCAACGCAAGTGCCAGTATGTAACCTTTTTATTATTAATTCTCAAACACTTGAAATTAAACCTTTTAATTTCAAAAGTATGGGAACTTTTACATACAATTTTGTTAATACTTTACTCTATGGGCCAGATGTGGTGGCACAGGCCTGTAATCTCAGCGGCTTGGGAGGCTAAGGCAGGAGGATCCCAAATCTAAGGCCAGCCTTAGCAACTTAGCGAGGACCACAGCAACTAAGAGAGACCCTGTCTCAATATAAAAAATAATAAGGGCTGGGGATGGAGCTCAGTGGTAAATTGCCCCTGGGTTAAATCCCCAGTACTTGTCCCCTGAAAAATTAATAATAATTTAACTGCATGATACAGATCCTTTGACATCTGCTGAGCCCTTCCGTGTGGACCCACATCCTTATTGAACACTCCTTCCTGAAAGGTCCTTTCACTAGCAAGACAATGCTACGGGAAAGGGGTCCTTTCAGTGTGCCAGAGACTCTGTCTCACCGTTCCCTGGCTTTGCTGTTGCTAGTCCCCATGAGCTCTGCTAGGAGAGGGATCTCAGCCATTTCATCTACTCCTTTAAAAAAAAGTTTTGAGTTTTTTCACACCAGCCTTATTAAGACACGAGTCGCATGCCCAGGCAGTTCACCTAAAGCATAGAATTCAAAGGCTTTTGATACGTTCACAGAGTTGGGCCCCCACAGCCACAGTCACCTTTGGAACATTCTTCATCACACTAAAAACGAAATGCAGGCCGCCAGTTGTTTCCCCCCTCAGACTCTCTCAGGCAGCCATGAGTCTATGTTCCATCTCGGTAGATTTGCTTATTCTGACATTTCATATAAACGGAGTCACAAGAGAGTCTTTTGTGATTGGCTCCTTGCACTTACCCTGTTTGCAAGGTTGGTCTGTTTCGTAGCGTGTCTTAGTCCACTTGAGCTGCTATAACAAATACCTTAGACTGGGTGGCTTATAAACAACAGAAATTTGTTTCTCCTAGTTCTGGAGGCTGAGTCCAAGATCAAGGTGTCAGCAGATTCTGTGTGCAGTGAGGGCCCACTCACCGTTTCACAGAAGGTGCCTTCTTGTGTAGGTGGGGGAAGGAGGTCTCTGAGGTTTCTCATAAGGGCATCAATTCCATTCATGAGACACCCTTACTCCTCAGTCATCTCCAAAATACCTGCCATGTCATACATGCCCTGGAGACTAGGTTTCAACATATGAATTTGGAAAGAACACAAATCTTCAGCCTGTAGCAAAGCATATATCAGTATTTATATTTTATCCCTAGTAGCTATTGCCAAATAACCCTTCACTGTGGATACAGTGCATTTTACTTATCTATCCATCAGCTGGACTTTTGGGTGGTTTCCACTTTTCTGGAATATTACTATGCAAGCTTTTCTGTGGACACACACTTTCATTTCTTTTGGGCAACGTCACTCTGTGGAATTTCTGGTGACTCCATGTTTACCCTCTGAAGTTGCCACATTGTTCGCCAAGCAGTTGCGCCATCTTGCAAACCCATCTGCAGTGTACAGGTCGCCATTTCTGCCCATCTTCAGCAACACGTGTTTCTTACTGCTTCCCCCTTTGCCCATCTTCTTGCAGTATGCCAGGCACATGACGGGCACTTAAACGCTTAATTACAAATAATGTAACAATCCTCCTAATTACAGCGTGCTCTTCATTCTTATGTGCATGTGTTGGGTGTACCCATTATGGTCACATGTGTTCCATATAATACAGCTAAAGTATTATTACATATCATATCAGTCATTAGCTGTCCTATTTGGGGCTGTTCTGCGTTGGGACAGAAGGCACAGGGGAGGTGTGAGGCATCTCTCACTAGCAATGATCAGAGCCAAAAGCCTGAGCCACCAAGGGCCGAATGACCAATGTAGAAAACAGAGGCCAGGTCTGATTGGGCTCAGTGGCCCACGCCTGTAATCCCAGCTACTTGGGAAGCTGAGGCAGGAAGATCACAAGTTCAAAGCCAGCCTGAGAAACTCAGGGAGGCCCTATCTCTAAATAAAATATAAAAAGGGCTGGGGATGTGACTCAGTGGTTAAGTGCTCCTGGGTTCAATTGAAAGAAAGAAGGAAGGAAGGAAGGAAGGAACATTGGACAGTTCTGGTCATTACCCAGGCCAAGATCTAACTCCAGATAAAAGACTTTTTTAAAACCTTCCATTTAACAACATGCCAGCTTTGCCCAGATATGAACAATGTAATTCCATGTTTCTCAATGACATTATATTACTGAATCGAAAACATGATTTTAAAATGCAAAGTCCACATATTTTCCATAAGTCTCAAATCCATTTTGATTTGATTTCCCCCCATTTTGGTTTTGAATGGGGAAAAAAATATCCTAAAAACATTTTTCTTTTTTTCTGATTTGACCTTGTACAAAATAGGTTATCATCCCTGGGCCAAGTAATCATTTATTCATCAACGACACCCTTCTAGTTTAGGGGTCCGACGCAGGAAACCAAAACCAAGATGTGCTACACAATCTAAGAACCTTTCTGGTTGGGGACTGGCGGGGGGGTGAGGGGGGGGTGCGGGGGTGGGGGGGAAGGCTTACATTTTAAATGCAAAGGCTTTTAGGTTTTTGTCCTGAGGACCTGGAAGACAAAGAAAGGATTAGCTAAATCTGTCCTTTCATTCACCTGGGATTCATTTCATGTCATGGCATTATAATTTGTCCCCAGCATCCCCCCAGGGAACCTCCAGCATCCTGCTTCACATGGTTGCCATGATGTATAGCTCTCCTTCCTGGCTGTAATGAACCCCTCAGACTGCTTCTTCCTCCTACGGGTAGTTTAGATTACGTGTCCTAAACACACACTCCCTGTACTTACCACACCGTGCTCCTGGACGCGGGTCTAGTCACGCTGGCTTCCCCACCTCAGCCTCCAAGTAACCGGGGCCATCTTGTTTTTCCGTACAGCTTCTTTATTTGGTGATCAAGATAGTGTTTGGCACATTATGGGCCATTGATAAACATTGAAATAACAACAGATTTCATCCTTGATAATCACTGACTTAAAAAATTAATGAAGCAGGTGCCCCTGTACGGTCAGCACAGACTATAATTACCTGTTGTGAAATCTGTCTGCCCGTGACAAATGGGCACTGGAGGGTTTGGAGCAGGTGTCTCAGCTGCGCGTCAAGCTGTGATCTGGAGGTGTGTCTGCAGAGGTAGATCTACTGGGCCCACAAAGCAGGGCTCAGTGTATAAACAAGGCCCCAGGCAGCGTCTTCACCTCCTCCCAGGGACCGTGACCTTCTCTCTGCCCCTGGTGAAAGGACTAGTTTCCCTGGATGACAGGAATCCTCCTTCCAACATGCTTTCTTCCCGGCCCATGGACTTCCTTGTTCCACAGCCAATTTCAAACCCCGGGGGGGGGGGGGGGAGCAGAGGCTCCCAGTGCGAGATGGGAACCATTAAAGCAGAATAGACGGCGATGCCAAAAAATGACAGGAGTGAGGGCCAGAGTCCCAAAGGGTGACATCAATACCAAGACTGGGAAGGAGGAGGGAGAGGCAGGGCAACTCGGTGAGGAGGAAGGCCACCATCACCCCAGGAAGACCACAGTATGGCCCCTCAAGAAGGGTAATTGGATGAGCCTCTAGGACATTGTGCTGAGTGACACAAACCCGTCACAAAATGGACTAGCATTGTATGATTCTGCATATCTGAGGTACCCAGAGGAGCCAGACTCACAGATAGAAAGCAGCATGGCAGCCGTCAGGCCCTGTCCGGCCCTGGCAAGAGGAGGAAACAGGACATTCTTTAATGTATCTAGAGTTTCAGTTTCACAAAATGAAAAACGTTCTGAGGACTTAAATTCAACTTTATTGAGGTTTAATTTGCGTAATATAAAACGTTTAGATTCTCTAGGCATACCCTGTGATGAGTTTTAACCACTGTAGTTAAAACTGCAGACTTATGTAGCAATCATCTGATTAAGATCTAGAACATTTATGTCACCCTAAAAGTCTCCCCTGGCTCCCTTCCCCATATGTCTGGACCAACCACCCCTGGCCAAGACAACCCGAGATCTGCTTTCTAGATTAAATTTGGTTTTCCTAATATTTCACATAGATGCAATCATATAGCGGTTTCTCTTTTGTGTCTGGTTTCTTTTCCTTACAGTATTTTAAAATACACCCACGTGAATCACTAATTTATTCCTTTGTGTTGCAAAATGATATTTCATTATATGGATATGTTGCAATTTATTAATTTGCCTGTGGGTGGACATTTCAGTTGTTTCTAGTTCTTTGGAAATTATTATTCATAAGAGCTCTATGAATGTGCATGTGTAAGTCTTTATAGGGGCCTGTGTTTTCATTTCTCTTGGACAAATGCCTAGGAATTGATTAAAGTCGCTTTATGAGAAAAGGCCATGGTAGTAACATGTTCAATTACTGCCAGCAACGTATAAGAGTTCCCGTTTCTCCACATTCTTGTCAACACTTTGTATTGTCATATTCTTAAACTTCAGCGATTCTAGTGGGTATGCGTGGTTTTAGTTTGCATTTCCCTGATGCCTAATGACGTTGAGTATCTTCTGTATGCTTTTTATACTGAAAATACTGTTTCCCAGTCTATGACTTTCATTTTCATAATAGTGTTTTACCAAAGGCAAGTTTTTAACTCTGAGATTTGTTTTCCAATTTTTAAATGTTTTCTGTATCCTGGGTGAGAAATCTTCCCTGATCCAAAGGTAACCAAGATTTCTGTCTTAAATATTCATCTACAACTTTTACATTAATGAAATATGATTCATTTCAAGTTAAGTTTGTATTGGATGGGAGATAATCACAAAGGTTCCTATTTTCCATGTGGATACCCAGTTTTTCCTACACAATTTGTTATAAAGATCCTCTTTCCCTCAGTTGAAATATCCTGGCCACTTTGTCAAACAATAATTGACCACATATGTTTTTGGGTTTGTTTTCACTACTTTCTACACTCTTCTATTATCTATTTGTCTATTTTCATACAAATACTACACTCTTTTAATTACCAAAGCTGAATATTAAATTCTGAAATTAGGTGATGTTGCTCTTTCAACAAATATTCTTCATTTTCAAAATCATTGTGACTTTTATAAGCTCTTTGCATTTCCATATGAAATTTAAATTTTTACAAAAAGCCTGCTGGAATTTTGATTGGGATTGCATTGAATATGCAAATAAATTTGGAGATAATTGACATTTTTTAAAAACTCAAGTCTTGGGCTGGGCTATGGCTCATCAGTGGAGCACTCACCTAGCATGTGTGAGGTCCTGGGTTTGGTCCTCACCACATAAAAAATAAATACATAAAATAAAGGTATTGTGTTCGACTACAACTAAAAAATAAGTATTAAAAAAAAAACCCTCAAGTCTTCCTGTCCATGAACATAGTCTATTTGCTTATAAATTTAAAAATTTCTTTCAGCATATTTTTTAGTTTTTTTGCATGCAAGTTTTATACATATTTGTTAAGATTATTCTTGAATGTTTTGTGACCATTGAAACTATTATACATTTTTATTGTATTTTCAGTTGTTTATTGCTAGTTGACCTTGAATCCTGCAAACCTACTAACTCTTTACGTCTAATAACATTGTTTTGTATATTCCTTAGGACTTTCTATGTTTAAGATCATGTTGCCCAAGAATAAAAATCATTATTTTACATTTTTCTAATACATATACCACTTATTTATTTTTCTTATTTTATTGCATGGGCTAAGATCTCCAGTACAACACTGAGTAGGAAAGGTGAGAGTGAACATCCTTGTCTTAATCCCATTCTCAGGCTACAATCAGTCAGTGGTTCACCATGAAGGACATGTTAGCTGTAAGTGCTTTGTAGATGTCCTTCCTTAGGTTGAGGTGGTTTCCTTTTATACCAGTTTGTTGAGAGTTTATGAATGAGTATTAAATTTTGTCAAAAGTTCTTTTCTTTGGGGGGTCACAGGATTGCATACAGGGCACATCTGTTGAGATATTGTGCAGAAAAGTCTGAACCTAACAGGGCTAAGAATGCTATACTTTGGAGGGCCTGTTTGCAAGGTTGGCTTTTCGCTGGCTTCTGGTCCCCACCATTCCAAGAAGTGCAAGGGTTTAGCACATACCACAACCAAATCGTCTGTACAAACAATGTGGTTGATGCTGAATACCTACTTTCCTTCTGGGAGCTTGGAAATGTGTGTGTCATGTGGAGTTGCCTAACCCCCAGTGACAACCCTGGGCTCTGGGTTTTTATGTTCCGGTAGACAGTGTTTATCACATGTTGCCACAACCCATTCCTGGGGATATTAAGCACAGAGAGAGGCATTTTAAAAGCTTATGCCTACTCTCCTCCAAGCCTCACTCTATGCACGTTGTCCTGTGGCTAATTTTGCTTTATGTCCATTCACTGTAATAAATGTCAGCCACAGACAGGTCATCTTAGAGGTATCAGCACAGATATCATACAATTTTTCTCCTTAACTCCTAATGTCAGTTACAATAGTTGATTTTGAAAATTTCACCAATTTTGAATGCCTGCATTGCCTCACTTGATATTATCCTCTTTTTATGTTATAGAATTTGATCTGCTAATATGCTGTTCTGGATTTTGCATCTATGATAATAATTTTCTATATTGTAATTTTCTTACAATTTTTCTGGTTTAGGTATCAGGGCAACACAGGCCTCATAAAATGAGCTGGAAAGTGTTACCTCTCCTAAATTCTGAAAACTCATTGAGCACTGGTGTTTTTCTTTTTTTTCTTTTTCCTTATTTATTTGAAACTGGGGATTGAACCCACTGGTGCTCTACCACTAAGCTACATCCCAAGCCCCTTTGATTTTTTTAAGACACGGTTTCACTCAGTTGCTTAGGGCCTTGCTAAATTGCTGAAGCTGGCCTCAAGTTTGTGATTCTCTGGCCTCAGCCTCCCAAGTCGCTGGGATTATAGGCGTGAGCCACCTTACCAGGACGGGTCTTCTTTCTTTCTTAAATGTTTGGTATTTTGGTGGTGCTACTGATTGAACCCAGGGCCTCATGTACGCTGGGCAAGTGCTCTACCACTGAGCTATGTCCCTCTTGAACATTTAGCAGATTTTCTGTCACTGTTTATTTTGTGCAGCCAAAATAAACACAGACAAAATCATGTCTCAGGAATGGAAACTTACTGATAGTCCTAAAGATCCAGAAGTCCGAGATCAAGAGATGTCACCTAGCAGTGGCCCTCTTGCTGTGCCATAACACGGCAGAAGGCATCACAGGGCAAAGAGATGGTGAGAGAGGGGACGAGGACACACCCACCCCTGCCCTGGTGGCATTAGTCCGTTCAGGAGGGCGGAGCCCTCGTGACCAAGCCCCTCTTCAAAGTCCCACATCCCAGTAAAGTCCCAGTGGCAACTAAAATTTCAACTTGAGCCTTGCAGGGAACCAGCGTTCAAACCATAGCTTTCTCCAGTGGGCCATCGAGGCCCCGTGTCTTCTCGTGAGAAATTTTTAAATTACCCATTTAATTTCTTTCGTAGATAAAGGCTATTCAGATTTCCTACTTTTCTCAAGTCAGTTCGATAGTTTGTATCTTTCAAAGAGTTTCTCCATTTCACTTAGGTTTTGAAATTCATTGTATCAGTTTATTCAGAATCTCTCTCCACCATCTTTTTCCCCCTGTAGGATGTACGGTGAGAAGCCTTCCTTCTGGATATTGTGATTCGTGTTTTCCATCCTGTTTCTCTGACCAGGGGCTTACAGATCTTTTCAAAGAACTATCAGTTCCAACTTTCTCCATGGTTTTGCTATTTTCTATTCTGTTAGTTTTCACTCTTCTCTTTACTTGGGTTTAATTTTCTTTTCCTTTTTCAGCCGTTCAAGACAGAAGCTTGGGTCATGAATTCTAGATCCTTCTTTTTTTTCCTAAAAGATGTATTAGCTGACATAAGCTTCTCGGTAAGCACTTCTCTAACCGCCTGGTCGCAAATTTTGTTACATCGTGTTTTTATTTTCATTCGGTTCAAAATATTGTCTAATCTTCATTGATTTCTTCATTGACTCATGACTTATTTAGAAATGTGCTATTTATTTTTCTAATATTTGTAGGTTTTTAAAGAGATTTGCTATCCTTTGTTCTTGTTTATTTGCTTAATTTTAGCTAAGTTCATGATATCCAGATACAGGTAATAGAGTTCCTCCTATCACTTGGCTAGTAGCTTCTTGTACACTTTGACTGTTTGATGCATTTGACCAATAATTTTTCATGGCTACTGCAAAGATAAATTTCAAGTGTGTTCTAAATTTATTAATTCTTAATATTAATGGTGATAGTTAATTTTATATTTTATAGTTTAAAACATGACTGATTTTTTTAACAACCATTAATTTTAAGTTGAACATTTAGATTTTTATTTAAAGCTTTTGGATGTTAACTTTTAATTTTAATTTATATCATTAAATTTGAAACTAAAAATATTATATCTTCAAACAGGCAGAGCACAGAAGGTTCTTAGGGCAGTTCAACTATTTTACATTGGTCAAAATTCACTCAACATATAACACCAATAATGATCCCTAATGTAAACCGTGGACCCTGGGTGCTAATGATGTGTGGGCGTAAGACCATCAATGGTGATAAAGGGACCATAGTGGCTGGGGACACGGACAGGGGGACGTTATGCCTGTGTGGGGGAGGGGGGCTCATACTTTCCATTCAATTTTGCTGTGAACCTAAGACGGCTCCAAAAAATGAAGTCTAGTTTAGAAAACAATAATAAGATCTCACAGCATTCAGGATGCTAGACCATTTGAGTGTTTAAAAAGCTGGCCAGGCAGGGGCTGGGGCTCTGGCTCAGGGGCAGAGCACTTGCCTAGCATGTGTGAGGCCCTGGGCTCCATCCTGAGCACTAATTTTTATTATTTTCATAAAAATGAAAAAAATAAACACGTGCTGTTTGTATACAGCTACAAAAATAAATAAACATTTAAAAAAAACCAAAAAACTGGCCAAGCACAGTGGCGCTCCAGAGGTTGGGGCAGGAGGATTGCTCAGGTCAGCTTCGACAGCTCAGACAGACCCTATCTCAACACTAAAAAAAAAAGGGTCTGGGAATGTAGCTCAGTGGTAGAACACCCCGGGTTCAAACCCTAGTACCTCAAAATTAACAACAACAAGAAAAAAAAAGGTTTAAAAATAAATGTTATTGCTGCTACTAATTAGTTTCCCTAATCCCACGTGGTTCCAAGTGTGACTTTTTAAAATCCCCTTTTTCTTTAATCAGCTTTACCAGGTGACAGTAAAATTACTTAGGTCACATCTACATTCGTTTAGAAATGAGGCATGCGGGAGGCTGAAGTCCCTGGGATGTGAGTCAGTTATTAAATCCACGTGACCTTAGAGAGAGCCCCTCTTGTGCCTGGCTGGCCGCACGCCCCACGGGGACTGGGTTAAGACTGGAATCACAAGTGCCCTACAGAGGCCTCTCCTATGAGTTCAGCAGGAGCTCGGTAAATAATATCAGAACTGAGTCATTTATGGTTGAATGACACAGAATGAAAAATAAATGCCTTTCAGGCAGTTCCTGTTACCTAATATGGACGAAGAAGTAGGCACTTTAACTAAAGGCCCCACCTGTGACCCGCATGAACTTTTCCCTATAAGGATGTTGATCTAATTTCCTGATCAAAAAAGGAGTCCAAAAACACTGTAAATGATCTGTCTGGGCCTGAAAGAAGGCCTCTTTTCTCTTCTCAAAGACCGTGTCCATGTAAGTCTACAGAGTTTATCTTCTGAACAGCTGAGGGGGCTGTGTTTTGCTCGGTCCTGGAGAATGGCCGTGCACCCTGCTCTTAGCCGCGGGAAAGGTGGAATCACCCACCCAGCGCAGGACGGGAGGCAGAGTCTGTGGCACTGGGAGTGAGAAACAAGGTCCTGAAAACAAATTCATACTCAGAACTTGGAAAGAAGACTGGTATCCTTATAGGATTTTTTTTTTTCAATACAACTGTCCATTCTCCTGTGAATGATAAGCCTGGGCAGAGGAGGCTCGTGGAATTGACATGACCAGTGCCTAGACTTTCCTACCTGAGAGTAAAGGTGAAACGATAGAGAACGTCCTCTTTCTTGGAGAAATGAGGTTAAATGGCTGTTCTCAGATAAGTGAATTAAACTTTGAGAGCCATAAGGAAAAGGAGCCCTTTTCTAAGGAAGTGACAACAGATTCATAAACTGCATGACTCATCAACTGCTTTCCAATTGCAAAACTGATCATGAATCACTGAAGAAAAACTTAAAATCTTGAAAAATCTGAGTTGTCTTTCAGGAATCAGCAACTGCAGTCTCTGCTGTTGGTGAACATATTCTTATTCACTGGCCTGGAATAACCTTACGGTGATACTAAAATAGGTCAAATTGTTAGAAATGTTTGTTTAAAAGCCAGACTGGGCTCTGAAATTTCTTTTGGATGAATCATAAGAATCTGGGTGAGAAAAAGAACTATGCTTAGATAAATTTGTTTGAAACAGGCCTTAGAGAAAAATAAAGAAATCTCTTTTAGTAGAAAACTGTGTATTCCTAACGAAGGCTCTGGTTGAACAGCAACCTGAGACAGGATGAAGGGACCCTGACCATCAGGATTCCCAACAGAGGGAGGGGCAGAGTTTACCAGCACAGACCTGGGAAGAGATTCCTTGTGCAAAACCACCGTGGACAGGTGAGGCTGGAGATGGGAAGCTGTGCTGTGCTGTTGTCTAAGAACTGGAAACAAATGCGTGACCCAAGGGTGCTTCCAAGCAGCTGTGAATGATGTCTACTCAGATTTCAATCATTAACTTCAGAGCAGCCTTGGGCTGGTGTCCAGGTTCAAGAGAAAGGACAGAGGTAATAAGATTTAACTGGAAAGATTGGAGTGAGTGAAAGAGGAGAAAAACACTATTGGAGTGTAGGGGAATTATTTTATGTTTAGATAAGGAGAGTTCAGGGGAAGTTATGGGCAGTTTGCATCAATACTTGGAAAACTGGAATCTAAATAAACAATAAAAATGTCTCCAGACCATGTAAACACGATGAGTTTTACAATTTACCTAGAAAATCTCTTAAAATTTGCTTGCTGGATTGATGTGGGATAGTCTCATTAAACATTTCTCCCCCTCCTCCCTCCTCCTCCTCCTCCTCTTCCTCCTCACCCCCTACTCTCCCCCCTCCTCCTCCTCCTCCTCTTCCTCCTCACCTCCTACTCTCCCCCCTCCTCCTCCTCCTCCTTCCCTCCTCCTCCTCCTCCTTCCCTCCTCCTCCTCCTCTTCTCCTCTCCTCCTCCTCCTCCTCCTCCTCCTCTTTCTCTCTCCTCCTCCTCTTCCCCTCCTCCTCCTCCTCCTCCTCCTTCCCTCCTCCTCCTCCTCTTCTCCTCTCCTCCTCCTCCTCCTCCTCTCTCCTCCTCCTCCTCTTCCCCTCCTCCTCCTCCTCCTTCCCTCCTCCTCCTCCTCTTCTCCTCTCCTCCTCCTCCTCCTCCTCCTCCTCCTCCTCTTCCTCTCTCCTCCTCCTCCTCTTCCCCTCCTCCTCCTCCTCCTTCTCCTCCTCCTCCTCCTTCTTCTCTTTTTTGGTGCTGGGGATGGAACCCAGGGCCTCACCCTTGCTTGGCAAGTGCTATACCCCCTGATCCATACCTGTAGCCCGATCTAAGTGAATTTTAAAGTTAATAAGAACCATTATTTTATGTCTCTAGTATTTGATGGTTGAGAGTACTTTAAAAACCACAGTTATTCAGAGGAAAAAAAAATACTCAAGCATTATCACCAAGGATAGGCTGCACCCCACACCAACAGATGGTTCCAAGTACTCACCCGCTAATCCTTTCAATTATCTTAGAAACTATTGCATGTCAACTTTCAAGATTGGGAGCCCTCTTCCAAAAACAACCTCCCAACCACAGTGACTACTCAGTAAACATTTCCACAGCACGTCGCCATTCCCTGTGGAAACGCTACGTGCCCTGACCACAGGACGAGCTCTCGGCCTCTTCTGATTGATAGCCTCATCCTGGGCCTGGCTCTTCTGCTTAGCTTCTCCCCTCTGGCCAGGCGTTTCAATCAACTTAGATTAAGACCCAGTCTCTGCTCTGCATTTTGACCTGGGGTTGGAGATCATCATGTCCAAGGCACTCGATGCCTGGGGACAGCTGGCCCAGGTGGAGGAGCTCACCTGTGCTGCTCGGCGACAAGACTGCTAATGTTGGCAGGGACAAGTCTCCCTAGGAGTCCTCCATGGCTCTGCTGAGAGTTAGGTATCCAAACTCTCAGATCCTTAAAAAAAAAAAAGTCTTTAAAGCTCTGCCAAGAATTAAAATGTGAAGCGAGTGCAGTGACTTCATATTTGAGTGCAAGAGGCAGCTCACTGGGTGGAGTTAATAAGGGCAGAGGTGAGTCACGAACCCCGGGTTGTGAATGTAATTACAGCTCGTGTAGAAAGGAGCACGTAGCTACCCGACCTTTATTCCCCACAGAGCTCCTCTAACGTTCCCTTCCACGCTGACACGGACAACCGGTGGCAGGGCATCGAAGCACAAGAGCCAGACATCTGGTCACGTTCTCGAGATTAGATGGCTCAGAGCAGACGAGGTGCTGGGAAAGGCCACGTTTCCTTGCACCAGGCACACGCCCAGAGAGGTCAAGGTACCAGCTGACAGCCGGACCAGCTGGTGCCCACCGCCCCGCAACACGAGCTGATGACGATTGGCCCCATGGAGGTCGAATCTCGGTTTTCCAGCCTTACGCGGCCTCAGCCTTTGAGAGCCGCCTTTGCCCTCCTTCTCCTTCCCTGGTCTCGATGTTCATTGCTTCCCATGGTTTGTGATCCCAAGTTGTGTTTATTTTGTTTTTTTCCTTAAAATGTGATAGCCCCCTGGGTCCTGGCCCCTGCCTCTAGCTGTCTTATTTGGACAGTCTCCTTGTTTCTGGTTTTCTGTGCCCTTCACTCATCCTGTCCATCACCACCAGGTTGGGGGCCCTTTTGCAGATGTCACCGCTCTGCTCAGCAGTCTTTACGACCTGTCACTGCCTGCAAACCCACGTCTGAGGTTCAAGTCTAAAACCTGCCCCGGTTCTCTCCTGAAGCCGCCTTGCCAGGTCTACCCAGGGGTCCGCTGTGACACCTCTGTGCTGACTTTGGAGCTGGCTCTTGACCTGTAATGTCCTCCAGTGTCCCCTCTGCACCTAATGAACTCCTGCCTGACCTGAGGCCTCTCTGACCCCACCAACCACCACCTGGCTTTGTGGGTCCCTCAGGCTTAGTGCCCTGCTGCCCCTGCTCCGACGCCAGCTCGTCCACAAAGCACCCCCGTCCTCCCAGCCAGGAGGGACCCCTGCCCCTTGACCTTCCCAGCGCCTTCGTCACTGCTCCTAAAACAGGTCACAAACTACCTGATTTTATAGCTATTTCCTTGTTAGATTATAAGTTTCCTGGTCCTGGCTGGTCTTACTCATCCACAGCACCCAGCACAGCCGACTGTCAACACCTATCTCCTGGGTGTATACATACGGCAGTCACAGGGCCTGTCCCAGCAAGAACCCCGACCCACGGAGAGGCCACCTCTAATGTGCCCGCCCCTTAGTCGGTGGGGACACCATCATCCTGAGTCTTCCAGAAAGATCCACCTTGGTTCACCTCCTTCTTCACCCAAAGAGATGCCGCAGTAGATGCCATTTCAAGGCACCGTTTGACTAATTAATGTGTAAGAAGGAGAATAGATGATAGCACATATGTCATTATACCTGAAATCGAACCTGGTTAGAGATCGGCCTTCTGGCCTTCCCAACATGCTGCTCAGAAGCACAGAATATGTAAAGTGGGGGCTGGGGTGTAGCTCATGATAGAGCGCTCGCCTGGCACGTATGAGGCCCTGGGTGGTTCGATCCTCAGCACCACATATAAATAAATTAAATAAAGGTTAAAAAATCATATATATATATATATATATATATATATATATATATATATATGCCTCTAGCTGTCTTATTTTGATAGTCTCCTTGTTTCTCCATTATATATATATAATGGAGTATTGGAATATATTGGTATATTGGAATATTGGAGTCAGTTACTAACTGAGTGTCCCGGATTCTGGTTCCATTAAGTGACTAACTTTACACTCTCATCCCTCCTCCTGCAGCTGAGGGGCCCACCCCTTCACACGCATTTTGCAGCATTACAAAATCCCTGTTCCCAAGCGTCAAACATCCTGAACCTAAATGTCATTCTCCTTGCCACTCATCTTTCTCCAACTTCGCCCCAGTCTCCTCCCGGTCGCCCACAGCTTTTCCTGTCCGTGAACTGCTTTCCGTGGTAAAAGACCATGTGTTTCTTATAACAGTGACACCAATGTCACTACCAAGTTCATGTCATGCCTCTTTCAAAGACACTGAGAGTTCTCGATGGTCATCGGGCTATTACCACATTATTAATTGACATCATAATTCCATAACGTAACTAACAATTATTCTCTCCATGGAGGAAACTAAGTAACCAGAAAGATGAAGTAACCAGCCCTAGGATATTACAAGGTCAAAGTCAAGACCAAAACTGGAAACAAGGTCTCCTAATCCAGCACTAGACTCGGGAGGCCACATACCCTCCCTTCCCCACAGTGCAGTGGACCCTGAGGATATGAGAAGCCATCGGTAGGAAAAGAAAACCGTGCTGTCTTCCAAAAGCAGCGTCACACCTCTGACCCTCCTGTCACACCTCTGACCCCCCCACACCTGCTTGGTTTTCCTCGTCTGGAGAGAACTAACCCTTCCTAGCTCTGGGAGTGGCCTTTCCCTTCTCCAGGACTGTGCAGCAGTGTCGGGGTCAGCAGAGCCTCTCAACGGCTCTCTCTGCTCTGGTGCTAAGACATGAAAGAGTCACGTCGCTTTCCAGCTCAGCACCCCCCGTGGCCCCCCTGACTCAACACGAAGGCCAAGGTCAGGTCTGGGGATGGGGCTGAGCCTCAGAACACAGGCCAACACATACAAGACCGTGGCTTCCATCCCCGGCACCAAATTTTTAAAAAGCCAAAGTCGTTAGTGTGAACTGTCCCGGGATGCAGCCTTGTCCCCTCTCCATTCTGACCACCTCCTGCTCCCCCTTGGGCACCGGGTCCCCACTTCACTCCATGGTCCTCGTGCCCCTAGGCCTGCACTTGCTCCTCCCTGGGCCTGGACTGGGCTTCCCAGATGTCCACATGACTCACGCCCTGCTGAGGTCTTACTCAGAAGCCACCTTCTCCCTGACGCCTCTTCTGACCACTTCATTTATTAGTTTGATCTCACGCGCCTCCACCCAGCGTGTTCATGTTCCGGCCCTTGCCTAGTGGCTTTCCCCAGCCTCCCTGGCGCCCAGCATAATTTACATTTTCATCTTGCTTCTTGTCACTGCCCAACGCAGCAGCCCACGGAACACAGAGAGATCCAGATACCCTTCTCCAGGGCGGGGGTGAGGGGAGAGAACCCGGCAACAGTGACCAGCGCTCACAGACTGCCTACCGGGCTGCGCTTTATACTGCTGCTAAGGGCTATGACGAGGCCACTTGTGGTTTGAATTACTTTAAAATTCAGAATACTATTAATTTCCGGTGAATAATTCCAAGAAACATGGTGCTTGGAGAAGAATTAAGATGTTTTCAGAGCAGCAAAAGAGATGCCTGGTGCGGCGGGGTTGTAAAAGCCGGTGCTGTCCAAGTCCTCTTCCTGTTTAGTAAGCCACAGGGCCCTTCTGTGGATATTTTGAGATTTACTGTACTCTGATTCATTCAAAATGAGATTCCACATGATAATATGTTTCTTTCAAGTGTTTCCGAAGAAAGTCATTTCCATTCCAGCTCACACTTAAAAAAAAGAATCATTTGCAAGTTTAGAGGCGACTGCATTATACCAAAAAGTTTCTTATAGATTATTCCATCAGATTAAAAGCAGGGTTGGGGGTGTAGCTCAGTGGCAGAGCCTTCGCTTCTCACCCCTGCAGTTGAAAGACGGGTTGGTAATAAGCTACGGTGCATTCATCCACCGCCATCCTGCACGGCAGCACCTGGAATGGACTAGGGTACTCTCCACCCCTGGATGCTCTTCTAGACCACGCCCAGTGAACCGGGCTTTACACACAAGACTATAAACTGCATGATGCCGTCACATGAAGTTCTACAAGAGACACAACTGGGCTATGGGAGGGACGCCTGGACACTGATCGTCTGGGAAGCTGGAGCAGGAATTGACTGGGAGGGGCAGGAGGGGAGGGTGTGAACCCGTGGTGTGATGCACATCTCTTTAGGGGTCTGCCCTGCACATGTGTGCGCATCTGTCAACACTCATCGGATGCTGCACCTGCCTAGCCTGCACGAAGTCAGCCAAAGGAAAAGAGAAATAAAAAAGAAAAGAAAATCCATGCATTTTATCACATGTACATTTTGCTTTAAAATAAACAAAGAACAACAACAACAACAACAAATACTCAGTTCCAGCTAGTGACAGGTGTGCTGAAGGACGGGAACTGCCATTACTATAGAATGCAGCCCAAAATGAGATGGGCGAAAGTGTTTCAGACCTGCTAATTTGTGTTCAAGAAATAAGAAAGATGAACCGGGACGGGGAAGTGGCTGAGTGGAACAGCCCTAGCCTCGCGTGGGGGAGGCCTTGGGTTTGGTCCCCAACACCACAAAAGGGGGAAAGGATAAACCATAAAGAGTTGGTGGAGGGGTGAAAGAAAGAGGGACAGTCGGAGGAGCAGAGAGAGAGAGTGTCCTGCAGCTGTGCCACTGTGACAAACCCCTGGGACCATCCACGGAAAGGGAGAAGAACTTTACCTTGTCTCAGCTTCCGGCCATGGCTTCTTGCCGCGGGGCTGTGGCAGGGCTGTGCCACTTGGCAGGAGCACGTAGCAGAGGAGCGCCCCTGGTGGCCACCAGGAAGAGAAGAGAGCGGCAGGAAGGGGCCAGGGTCCCAGGGCCCCCTCAAGAGTATACCCCCAATGACCTCACTCCCTCCCACCAGGACCCACCTTCTAAAGGTTCCGTCACCTCCCGAGAGCTCCACCCCCGGGGACCACGCCTTCGACACATGGGCCTTTAGGGGACTTTCAAGACCCAACTGCAGCAAGGGAGAACAGTGATCCTCGGGACACACATCGCCGCGTAGCTCTGAGTTTCCTACGTTGCCCTCCCCAAACACACCACCGAAAAGTGAGTATTTGCACCAACCAAGATGTGGAGCAACCTGACATGACACAAGCACTAAAATACACCCAGGGGCGTCACAATCGGATAGCACAACACCCCGAGGAGGGTGCGGAGGAGAGTCTGACTTAAGTGACCTGGGAACCAGGATCCTGCTGCTCTCTACAGCGCTGAGCAGGAAGGAAAGTGGACATAACTAGACACACTCCAGTTAGTTGGCTCGTCCCCACAGGGCTGTGCACCCACAGCTCCAAACCGCTCCACGCTCGTATGTTGATGGAACAAATAAGTAAACACGCTGCAGTCAGCGAGAGCCATGGTTTCACTGCTGGGGAAAGAAGTGGCTAAGAAGAAAGAGAAGGCTGGAGGAAGCCGGAAGTGCTGTGCTTGACTCAAAGGGCTCAGCACCAGCTCGTGATTCACACACACTGAAGAATAAACACACAAGGGACACAGATGTGTGTACAGAGGGCCCCGAGGCAAGGAGCCCTGCAGCGTGCCCACCTTGGTTTATAAACTCCATCTTCAACAGGTGAACCCAGGGCTCCTCAGAGAACACAAAATGAACCCGCACCATCTTGGGGTGACAGTAAACAAGGAAACCTCAAAAAACGAAGGTCATGTCAAAAGAACTCAAGAGCCCATGCAAAGGGGATTCCAATGATGAAACTGAGACAATTTGAGCAAAAATAAAATACTGATAATAAGGGCTTCTAACCCCCCAATAGAATAATTACTCATGGGTCCATCTGGATATAAACAAATAACTGAATAAATAAATGGGAAGAAAGGGCATTTTCCCCTTATAATAAAACTCTAGCTAATAAGTATAGAAAGAATGGGGGGCAACAGAAGGTTTCCATTAGAGAAGTGTAGAAATCATTGCAAGTGAGATCTTGCATTGAATAGTAAGAGAATAGGGGAAAGTTTAAGAGAAGCAGAATATTTGCAAAGTCCCAAATATCTCCTCTAAAAGAGTTATTGTTCATGCTGGACGCAGTGGCGCAGCATCTATAATCCCAGAGACTAGGAGGCTGAGGCAGGAGGATTGCAAGTTCAAGGCCAGCCTCATCAACTTGGGGAGGCCCTGTCTCAACGTAAAAAGGGCTGAAGATGTGGCTCAGTGGCTAAGTGCCCTGGGTTTAGTCTCTAGTACCAAATTAAAAATAAGTAAATAAAACATTTATTATTTACAAAGGGAAAATAGTAGACCCAGGTACCAGAACTAATTAGATGAGTGTCTCCTGGTGCCTCCCCTCCCTGCCCCCCACACGGCAAGCTTTTTGAGGGCACAGTACGGCCTCTGGGTTTTCTTGTGAAGAATGCAAAACTTTAATTGTAAGAAAACTTCAACAAACTCCAAATTGAGGAACGTTCCACAAAATAGATGACCAGTACGTTTCAAAAGGGTCAAGGTTGTGGAAGACACGGACTGGGAGGAGCCCACGGAGATGTGAGGATGGGTGAAAGGGGCCCCGACTGGATCCTGCACCAGAAAAGGACGTTATGGGGAGATAACCTAATAGTGCCGTGTCAACGCTGCTGGTCTTGACCACAGGACTCTGGCTTTAGCACACTAACATGAGGAAGCTGGTGAAAGGTGTGTGGGAAGGCACTCTACTATTTTGCAAGTGTTCTGTGAATCTAAAATTTTTTTTTTAAGTTAAAAACTGTAAGATGGAATGGGGTTGTGGCTCATTGACAGAG